TATATATATATATATATATATATATATATATATATATATATATATGGAAATATATTGGGAAAGTTTTATATAGCAGAAAGAATTGAAAAATATCTCTTCCCTTCTGTTCTCCAAGATATAGACCAGGAACATCATCAGAACACATTTATTCTTAATCCTGTACAATAAAAAGAGAAGCAATGTCCCAGAGGTTTGGGAGGCAGAGGTAAGAGGATCATGAGTTCAAAGCCAGACTCCGCAAAAGCAAGGTGCTAAGCAACTCAGTGAGACCTTGTCTGTAAATAAAATACAAAAATCAGGCTGGGGATGTGGCTCAGTGTTTTGAGTTGAGTGCTTCTGAGTTCAATCCTCCTTACCAAAACAAAGAGAGAAGTGATGGTAGGAAAAACTGCAGGTACTGAGAGTCAGATGCTGAGAGGTGCAGGAAGTGATACTCAATAGCAGCTCAGGGACAATGGCAAGTTTCAGTTTTAAATAACATAAAACAAATGAGAAATGAAAAGTAATAAATAGGATATTTTTCTCACTTACCCTACAGAAGAAATTAAAAAAAAAAACTTTCAGAATAGATTGGGGGCAAGAATATAAAGTTCATGATTTCCACCTTTATTTTTTACATCAGAAGAGACAGTTCAAGATAGGTTTCTTTTAAGATAATGCTAAGTGAAATTAGCCAACCCCCAAAAAACAAATGCCAAATGTTTTCTCTGATATAAGGAGGCTGACTCATAGTGAGGTAGAGAGAGGAAGCATGGAGGAATCYACGAAYTCTAGATAGGGCAGAGGGGTGGGAGGGAAAGGACAGGGAAGGGGATTAACAAGGATGGTGGAATGTGATARACATCATCATCCAAAATGAAGACACGAATTGGTGTCAACATACTTTATATACAATCAGAGATATGTGCTATACACATGTAGTAAGAATTGTAATGCATTCTGCTGTCATTTATTTTTTTTTAATCAAAAAAGATATGCTTCTTTAAAAGTGTTTTAAAAGGAGATATGGCTTAATGGAGAGAAAAAAAGAAGAAGGTACTATGGGTTAAACAGGTTAAGCTCAATGGAGAGAAAATCAAGGCAAATTTAAAAAATGTATCAAGATTCAGGGAAAAAATATTAGAGATGGTTTATAAAAAGTGTTGATGGATTTCTCGAAATTATAGAAAAAAATAAAAGACAGTAAATAATCTCCACTTTAAAATTCTAATGCTTACAAAAATCAAAGTATGAGAATCAACAGGTGGAATGAAGTAAAAGCTGTATGTATATCCATATACATCCATGGCAAATATTCTTGGTTTTGAAAAGAGTACATACAAATATATAAACCAAAATATTAAACAGATTTTCAAATATTCTTTATACTCTTCTATTTTTACTTAATTTTATAAATGATGATGAAATATTACTATTTTCAGGCAATAAATTTATTTGCAAATAAATTAATACATTTGGAAATTCAAAACTAGTGTATACCTTTTTTCTTTGTTTTGTTTTAAAGCAGAATTTTCAAAATAAATTTGTAGCTTTGAATATATTTAATAAATCTATTTATAACTCTTTTCCACTAAAAAAATGCTTCACATTTAAAAATCACTAATTCAGTGGGCTGAAAGAATCTATATTATTTAGTACTTATTCTATCTCATTATAGAAAATTTAGAGTTATATGACAGATAACTGATCATTCCAAGTCTCTAAAATTTATGAGCTCTATTTTATTATAAATATAGGATATATTCCTCTCTTAAATCCCAAATACTAGTGAAATGTTGGGATTTTGAAATACTGTTAAGAGAAGCATAACAAAAACAGACACTGATATACCAAATCAAATTCTTGAAGAAATTCACAATTTTTATTAAAAGGCTTTTTAAAAACACAAGTATATGAAAGAGGATAGGTAAAATTTAACTTGCTGTTTTTTTGTTTTTGTTTGCTATGCTGGGACTAAAAACAGAGCCTCATGCACACTAGGCAAGTGCTCGGCCACTAAGCTATACCTTTCTTTATCTCTTTTCTCTCTTTTCTCTCTCTCTCTCTCTCTCTCTCTCTCTCTCTCTCTTTTTTTTTTTTTTTTGAGGCAGGGTCTCTCTAAATTGCCTAGGCTAGCCTTGAACTAAGTCTTTGTTATTTTAAAATTTTAAATTGCCCAGGCTGGCCTCAAACTTGGAATCCTCTTGACTTAGCCTCCTGAGTTGCTGGGATTACATGAATACACTACTGAGCTGTAGTAATTTGTTTTTTGTTGTTTCGTTTGTTTGTTTGTTTTTGTGGTGCTAGGGCTTGAACACAGGACTTTGTGCATGCAAGGCAAGCACGCTACTCACTGAGCTATATCCTCAGCCCCCAAATTTATTTTTTAATACTAATATTCATCATAAAAATTAATTACTCTACTGGGTTATAGGCAGTGACAAAATCTTGGGAGCCTCTGGTATAATTTAATTTTACCAAAAAAAAATGTCAGAATCAATTACTCAGAATTATACTCCCTAATATGGTAGACATCTAGCTATAGACATTTAATAAGCAACTTAGAGAGACCCTGTCTCAAAATAAAAACTAAAAAGGACTGGGAATATGGCTCAGAGATTAAGCACCCCTGGATTCAATCCCTGGTAGCAGAAAATAAAAAAGATGAAATTAAGAATTCACATAATTCTTAATAATCCTCTATCAYGCTGATCACATTTCAAGTGCTCAGTAGTTACGGCTACCATAGTGCACAATGGAGAATAGAACCTGTCATTAGAGACATGTCATACTACTAAACAGTAATTCAAATTTCTACTGGATGGTACTGTTTCAATGTTTTTATATTTTCTATTGACTTTTTAAATCTTCTCTGGATCAGTTTACTTTTTCAACAAATTACTCTGCCTCTCCTATTGATTCTCATCCCTTTCAAATTRTGTTCTTCTAAGCTGAAAATAATGCCTACAGAAATGTGTTTCTATAAGGCTGGGGTTGTGGCTCAGTGGTAGAGCACTTGCCTAGAAATGTGTTTCTATAAATAAACTAAAATAGAGCCTCTACAATTCTCCYATACATGAAATAAATCAGTTTTAGACTATGCACATGGAAACCCACTTTGGGCTGCTGGGTGGCCCATTTGCGTATCTGAAGCTTATCTATGTTTCCAACAATTGGGTCTGCCAGATCATTGGCCTGCAGACACACATGATGGTGTCATGAATACTAATATGGTATGCAAACAATACAAGAAAATTAATTAGAAAAATACAAAACACAAAACTCAAGAAAATTCAACTTAGAACAATATAAGCCACTTTTCCTTCCAGAACAAAAACCCACTGTAGTAATATGATCACACTTTGGAGACATATTTCTGATTGCATTAAAATATTTTAATTAGATTAAATGCACCATATAGCACTATATAAACAATACATATTATACAAAACTCTTTAAAAAAGGCTACSATAATGGGAAAGAAATTAAGTTAAAGGTAAATATACCTTAAATGGGATTCCACAATTCTATCCATTCGCTTGTAAAAGGGTCTGGATGTAAAATAGCCACTCCAATAATGATCATCCCGGTCTGCATAAGTGAAAAAATCTCCACTTAGAACAGGGAACATTGATTGGCCTTTCTTTTTCATAGCTTCATCTGCTTTATYCACAGCATCAAAATAATCTGATAAAGTTCCAAATTGTATCTAGCAAAAACAAAAAGTTATAATTTAGTTATTGATACCTTAAAATTGTTTACTTCTTATACTGAAATGAAAAGTTAATAATAACTATGCAAGCTGTAATTCCAAAATGAACATACAGTTCAGATTTTACAAAAATCAAAAATGGGGAAAAATACTAGTGGCTGTTTCTTTTACTTGCATCAAGTCCTAAATTTATCTAAGAGAAAACTTGAACATCTAAGTAGTTAGGAAATTAGGAGAACTATTTAGATCTAAAAATTTGTGGAAATGAAAACTCCTTACATATCTTCAAGGTTTTGAAGTGCTCAAGGATTTAGGAAAATTCCTTACATATTTTTAAGATTTTGAAGTGCTCAAAGATCCAGGCATGGAGTAATTCAGATGAATGAAAGATGGATCACAAAAAATAAAAGATACATGTTTTAAGCAAAATGTTCCAGAAGTCTGGAAGAATAGTTTTGTTAGCCACAAGGTATTTCATATATCATAGCCTCTTCTTGACACCTAGGCCCCCACTATGAGTTCTTATAAGGAAAAAGGGACAGACTTTAAAAACAGGAGGTCATTTTAAAAGTTCATTTTCTCTGCACTGAGTGAAACACTACATGATAAGAATTGCAAGGTTGACTGCTCAAATGAACAGGTGATTCTAACTAATGATACAAATTACCAGTACATAAATCCATTTTTATGAGTCCAAACTATTGTACAAATCAAAGAAAGAAACATTATACCAGACCTTGTAAACAGATATTTAAAAGGTACTCATGTTAAAATAGATTATAAAACAGATAATGTGTTTTTAAGTAATAAGATACTGATTTTATTATTCCTTCACAAACACACACACACACTATGAAGTATTATGACTGAATATACAATGGCAAGATTTTAAGTCCTATCTCTACCACTTATCTTAATATGGCTTTAAGGATATTACATAATGTCTCTGTGTTATGGAAAATACAGTTCTAAGTAAAAAGCTTAGAATTTTGACTGGAAAATAATGGTGTAGGTTTTAGCTATTATTTCTCTATTGCTAAGACAAAATTCCAACTGGAAACATTTACAACATGATAATAGTAAGGGAAATACAAGTTGTTACAGTCAAATTGTGTCATAATAAATTTCATTATAGCAAAATAGATGATTGCTACTAAATCCCTATGTTTTTATTAAAGATAAGCATTTTTCACTTATATCATCTATTCTTATTTTGGTTTCACCAAATACAGTGTTATCTTAGGCAAGTTAATCAATTAGTGTGCTTCAATCTCTTTATCCTATAATGGGAATAATCATGGTAMCTACCAAAATGTTCAGAGAATAAAGTTAAATGAAAATTAATGTCAAATAATAAAAGCATTCAATATATTTTAACTCATAAGTATTACTGCTCACTCAACAAAATTACTAAGAAGCACAATATAAGTATGTATGCTTAACCATACAAGAATGAGATCACAAATACAAGGAATGATAGCATTCATTTCCTACCTTATAGGTACAGACAAGCTCAGAGATGTATACATAATAATAGTGGTAAAATATCCAATGATTGAATATATATCTAATAAAAAAATTTTTAGACAATAAAAATCCCTTTGAGTTTCAAACTTTAGGAATTCATGGCATGACAAACCTGATAGTCACACTGATCTGTATCCTTTTAAATTTCTCAATTAATATTGGAATGAGCCAGGATGAAACATTTCCTACTTGACAATTTCCCAAAGTAATGTTCAAAAGTCTAGATAAGTAGTCAATAGCTTTCTCACAAACTTCATTCAATTTTTAAGGACTGAAAAATATCCTCTGCCTATGCTATAATAGTTTCAAAAGTAAAATTTTCCATAATGTTTTCTGGTAGCTCATAAAAGTAAATATATAGGACACCTAAAAATAATCAAAGAAAAATATTTAAATGATTTTTACACTAAAAGGTGAAACAAATTCAATATTAAACATAAAACACCTCTATCAGAACACTACACAGAAAAAAATACATAGTTGTTAAATGATGATCGATGGCAAACCAGCTGTCTTGGCTAGACCCAATGTCATTTTTTTTTTTTTAGCCATCTAAACTCAATTATGTGTTTCTTCCTTTCCTTTCATTAAAATAGTAAGCRTACATTCTCAAATAATTAAAAAAAATCTGCAAAACATTCCAGAAATATAACTACATAAACTGTGTGGACAAAGAAAAAAGTCAAAAATTTCAAAGACAACCAAACTAGTCAGGATAAAAATTCTGGAGAAAGTCAAAATGCATCAAATGAATCCTACACTCTCCCAAATTTTCATCTTAGGGCACTTATCCAGTCATTACACAAGACATAAAAATCTAATAGAAAACATTCCCTAACAGATGCAATTGATAATATTCAGCAACTAATTATTTTTTTWAAAAATTCTGTATATGAGAAAAATATAAATTCCTCAATCTGATAAGGGAGTCTATAAAGTCTTACAGCACACATCATGATTGATGATGAAACACTGAATGTTTTTTTCCCTTAGAAAAGTATGTSTACTCTCACCTTTGTAAATTCGGTATTTGCAAAGGCAAGAAGACAGAATGAAAGTTACAAAGTTTTGGAAAAGAATAAAAAAAATACCATTATTCACACATAGATAATTCAAAAAGAATCCATACACTATTAAAACTTAAAAATAAATCTTAAAAATAAATAAAAATAAACAAATTTACTGGATAACAAGTTAAACTGCAAAAGCCAATTATATTATTATACATAGAATATGCCATGCTCTTGAAGGCCCAATATTTGTAAAGTTAATTATACTCAAATTGAACCACAGATCCAATGTAATGCCAACTAAAATGCCACCATTTTTGTTTTCTTAGTAGAAATTAAAACATTGAGCTCAACTTACACAGACTACAAAGAATTAAGAATAACCAACAGAATTTTGAGGAGAACTAAGTTGAAAAATTAATACTATCAGATACTAAGACCTTTTATAAAGCTAGAGTAATAAAGACAGCATGAGATTAGTCAAAAGAAAGAATAGAGATTAGCAAAAGAAAGACTAGAAACAGACCCACACAAACATAGTCTCGCTTAGGATTAATGTCGTTGATGTTGCAGTACAATGCAGGAAACTATGGACTTTTCAAAAAAAAAAAGTATATCCTTATATGAGCAAAYATGCATCTTGAGTCCCACCTCGCATGATGAACAGCATTACATTTCAGACAGACTACTGAATGAAATGTTAAAAGCAAAATAATAGTTTGTAGGAATAACTTCATACAAAAAGTATTTTTATGATCTTGGAGTAAATAAAATTTTCTTAAATAAGACATAACAAGCACTAACCATAAAACAAAATATTGTTAAATTAAGTTAATTAAAATTAAGGATTTCTGTTGATTGAAAGACAACACAGAGAGTTCAAAACATAAGCTACTTAACAGGAGACAATATTTGTGTAACTTTTTATTTGAAAAAAAAAAAAGACTCAATCCAAAACAGATAAAAGAATTATAAACAGAAAAAAAAAAAACAGATAACCCAATTTAATTTTAAAATTTACTGAAAGAATAAAATAGGAACTTCTYAAAAGAGGATCACAAATGGCAATAATCATGAAAAGAGGGTCAAACTTCATTAATCTCCAGGAAAACACAAAATAAAACCATCACATCTGCCAAAAGCACACAAATGAAAAGAAAAATACTGTGACAATACAAAGTGTGTCACACAATAAAACAACTGATATGCTGGCATATTACTTGGCATTATCCACTAAACTTAAACAAGTATACACAAAATGATAAAAAAAATCCTAATCCATTTTACACCCACATAAACTCATACACAGGTGACTAAAACATGMTAGATATGTTCAAGCAGCTTTATTTGTAATAGACGAGAAAAAAAAAAAGAGGGGGGTATACCTAAATGTCCAAAAATAGCAGAAAGAATAAAACTTGGTATACTCATCAAACAAATTAGAGAGTGTATAAAGTGTTAAAAACAAGTAAACAGACAGAAGCAGAGAAGTACACACTTATGATTCCCTTCCAATACAATTTAGGAACAAGTGGTATCTTTGACAATAGTGGCTCCTATTGAAGGAGTCAGTGGTGACCAAGAGGGGACCTGAGGAACTGCTCCAGGTGCTATGACTGTCCTAGGCCGTGTTATGGTGGTGGTTATAAAGGGGTTTTGAAGTTGGAAAAATTATCTACACACTTAGGGTGTGCACACTTCTTCTRTGTGTGTGATACTTTAATTTTCAAAATTACTTTAATAAGTTGTTATAGTGGGCATACAAAGGAAGAAATAGTGAAATAATAAAATTAGGATCTAACTCTTCAGAGTCAGACAGAAGACCAGACCTGTCTATGGACTACAAATCATTCTCCAGTACGATACATACATGGAGAAGATAAATAACTCACATACATACCTTTCTCTCTGATCAGATATTCATGTTTCAACTTTGCCTTTGAGAAGAATACACAGATGATTTAAACAGAGTCCCTATGTTCAGATCTCCCAAACTGGTAGAAATTTAGTTATAAATATCTTGAATAGGCTTAATATTTGACTTTAAGTTTTTCTATGTGATATTACATAAGWTTTTTTAATAAATTAAATTCTTACTACATAAACTGTGGTCTACCTCTGACTTTCTAATTTTCTACATAATAATGTTGATTCCTTTCTATAGTATTTTCATAGATCTTCTGTCTTATAGGTAAATATGTAAATATAATAAACATGTTGAATAATTAATTTTCTCCCATAGGATCTTAAAATTAAAAAAATAAAATAAAATATAAAGACTTGTTGACCAAATGTAAATATATGTCTTCTATGAATTCTGACTCAACACATTTTTAATGAGATAAGGAAAATGCAAATCTAWCCAGATATATTATATTATCAAATTACTACTAAATTTTTAAGATATGATAATGGTATTATGATTATAATCTTTAAAAGTRTCCTTACCATTAAGAGATACATACTCAAGTAGTTACAGATGAAAAGTACATAACAACTGAGATTTGTTCCAACATGATCTTGGGAGAAGGCTGAGACAACAGTGGGGCAGAGGTGACAAAAGAGTGGTCTCAGTTGATACATATTGAAGTCGAGCCAGGATATGAAGAGAAGGGAGCTGTCTGTGCTATTCTCAAAACTTAAGGGTGCATTTCAAATTTTCCACAAGGTTAAAAAAAAAAGTAAGAACCACAGGCAAACTATTAATTTTAGAAATCTTCTCACTTAAGAAAAAAGGTTGTGTATTTTCTGGATATGAGACATTTGCAAAATTCATGATCTATTCATCTACAAATGCTAGTCACACTACTAAATCAGAAGGAAGCAACTATCATAGAGGAGCAATAAACTTTCAATGCTGGTAGAAAAATAGGGCATTTCTGCAAAATGGAAACTGCAACTTAGTAGGTWCAGACTTTCAGCCACATAAAAGCAATGCCTCTATAATTCCCAAGGAGTGTTAAGAGTCATCTTTAGAAATTAAACTATGGTATATGATAATTTTTTTCTTAATGAATTGTACTTTTACATAAGAATTATATAGTCTAAGAAATGCCAAGATGCAGTACAAAGAAACTAAGAATACGGTGTTATAGCTTCAATGAAMACTGAGGGTTCAACTTTGAAAACARTATTATAAATAAATATCTTCCATTACCTTTACTCCCAACTGAGGTTGAGAATTCATATATTTAAAAAGATACTCATAATTCTTGAACTGTAAGTCCCATTCTGAGTAGTCAGTGTAGCGAAAATCATCTCCAAGTGGGGCCAAGAGAACTTTAGTACGGAAAAGTTTTGACTTCTTTCGATACTGATCTAGAATCAAAAGAGCCCTATAAAAGAATAGAAGAAAACATGAATTATATTAAGAGGTCAACAGAGCAAGTTAATAAGAAAGTATCAATATTCAAATGTATAATACATTTAAGCAAATTATTGTATATAYTATCTGTATATTTAATATTTATATAATTTACAAGGCAGATTTTTTTTATAAATCACACATTATCCACTTAAGAAATTATCCAATTAAGAAACCCATACTTTTCCAATGAACTATCTTTAGAGAAATATGGTCACAACCAGATTTGGCATATTAATTACTAGGGCAGCAATGTCTCCTGAAGCCTAGTCACAGCAATTGGCTCCCAGATAGCCCATGTTTTAAAATAATTTAGTCCAAGAAGACAYAGAGTTCTCATCCAATCAACTTTGAAGTTTGCTTTGTTTTAATATCTCTTCTCTAATTTAATGTAAAATCTTTATAGTCTAATTAAACAGAAAAATGCATTTCAAAAAAGACTGGCATAAATCTTAACCTATAACATTCTACAGAAAGTATATCATCTTCTGAAGAAAGAATAACAATTGGACACCTGCCATAAATAATCTGATTATCTGTTACAGTGTCCTTTTCAATACTGTTCACCATATAATGTTTGGGAGTTGAATAAGCTATTTTAGTTTCTATCTCCTCGGGCTCTAACCCAGGACTCAAGAAGTCAGTATAACACACTGTGCTAATATGATCAGCTTTTATACTTCATATTCTAGGATTCTGAAGAAAACTGGGAAATGCTGAATTGGGGAACTGTTTGAGGAAGTCTGGGAATTCAAAGTAAGAGGAAGACTTATAAAAATGAAATTCAAAAAGCAGATAACAGTGTAATTCATGGTGTTCATAAAACCAAATTTTAAAAAATTAGTGCTTAAATAACAAGTTGTTTTTTTTTTTACTTAAATAACAAGTTTTCACTTCGAGGATTATTCAAAAGTGAATTGCAATTCATGATATAAAAACCTATGAAAGCAACYCAAAGAATATCAGTAATAAGATTAATTCTATAATAATTATTAAAACATTAAATTTAGAATCCCATATGGTCTTTTGAAAAAAATGTACAGTCTCTGAAACGACTTTGTACATGTTAAATTTTAGCAGTACTTTAGGGCTTGGCCAGTAAAGTATAACCATAATGCCCTTATGTAACATATAATGTTTAGTTTTCTAAGATTAGCATTTGGCATCATACTTAATCTTTACTATTTTTTTTTATTTATTGTTGGTCGTTCAAAACATTACATAGTTCTTAATACATCATATTTCACAGTTTGATTCAGGTTTACTCACATTTCACACTTTTCAAAACCAATTTTAGATTATTACTTACAATTTTTAAAAAGACACATGAATGATGAGATTAGCCACACAGAAATAAGACCAAAAGTAACAAGAGTAAAAAAATCAAATATATCAACCACAGATAAAAGATACTATGATTGGGCATGCAATTAGATTCTTGAGGCAGTCAGCATAAACAAGTTTACTATTATATTTACCACAATTTCTATATATTGGTGCTTTGCACATATACAGAAAAAAGAGTACAAACATTAATGGTGTCCTTTTTACATCTGGTATCCATCCTAACTCTCAAGCTTCTGCCCAGAAAATATCAACAGTAGGAAAGACAAGCAACCATTCTATACCATTGGCATGTAGTATGTGCTCACTAACTGTATGACAAACAAATGATGAATGCATTGACCAATACTATATGTGAAGGCATAAAGATACGATTTGCTCTTGACTTCTTCTACTAAATAAGAAATGTCAGCTTAACTCCAATCATCAATCCCCCAAAAAAGTTCCTTGAAACACCAAATTATCTGACATTCAATGGAAAAAAGCCAAATTAAAATACGACACCATACAAAAAACTAATGAAGAAAGGTATTTCCTTATTTGCAAAGTAGAGGAATCTGTTGCACTTAACATATCAAAAGATATTACTTATATATTACAGTTAAATCTCATTTTATTTAGGGTATTAAAAAGTGTCACTGAGCTGGAATGCATGTGTTATCTTCACTCATCACCAGGTCAAAAAGATATGTCTGTATATGAAGTAAATAGAAGAATTATGTTAGAACTTTTAAGAAGTTAAAAAAAAAAAAACCTCATCCATATGTCCCCTGGTGCATGGAAACTACCTTCAAAACCACTGGAACTGACTGAGCATAGACATGCTCCTAGGAAGCAATTTGTGGAGGGTTAGATAAGACAGTCAAAGGATTACACAAAGTGGCTTCTTTTCTAGCAATGTACCAAACACAGCACTCTCAACAGCACCCAAGAAAGAGAAAGGGGGCTCACAATACTTGTGGATACACTGGAACTCCCCAACTGAAACATCTGGCTAATCTTAAAATTAGCTCCCCATGATCCCTGACCACCTGAGCTGGAAGGAGTGATGTAAATACGGGCAAATACAGAGGGCTATGTGCTTAGTTAGGTCAGGGCTCCTCTTACCCCAGGCCTTCAGATCACTGCACTGTCTGCACAGACTAGCTTATTCTCTTATGCCTGACCAGCCTAACCCTAGAAAGCAGGCTGCTCACAGTTCTTGGTTTCATTGCTGTTGGAGCCAAGAAAATGAAAACCAGATCAGCCCAGTCTTGGAGAATTTTTCAAAAGAACTTTGAAGTCATATTTTGATAAAAGGACTTCTTAGCTTCAAGAAGACTCCCATGCTAAAACACCTTCAGTTCTGCCACAATGAAGGGCTCACACTGGAAAATTTTCTTTATGACCAAGAACTCAGTCAAGATTAAACCACCTGATCTCATTTGATTCCTTACGTATATTTTTTTTAAAGTAACTTATTTTTTAATGCATAGATTTGACAGTACAAAGATCTTAATGTATTTAAGAGGCCATTATTTTCTTAGCAGAGTTTTGTGTTTTTATATTATGATACAATGTTTTATTCAATTCATTATACTAATTTTTAAGTGAAGAAATTAAACTTTAAAAGCACCGAAGTTAGAAACTATAGGTAACTTGCTTTAATGAGATGAGTCCTTCATTAACAAAATTGTATTCTAAAGAAATGTTTCATTTCTTTGATTATTTTACTTAAATAATGTCTAAGTATAAATATTCCTAATTAAAGTTTTCTATAAGTCAAAAATATCAGAAAGATGCAAAGCTGTATATTCATCAGAGCTAGGCGATATTCACTATTATTGAAGTTGTTACTATGGGAAGACAATTACACTCTTTATGTGTTCCATTTCAACAAATGTGTTTTTGCAGTTGAGTTGCTTTTCTTACCAATTTATACAATGGAGACCAGAAGTTTTATTATCAACAAAAGTATATGAAATCAATCAAACACTGTAGAAAGCTTTTATAAGGAGGGCAAAGGAGGTGGTAATAATAGTACATTGTGGGTTAGCCACTGTATATTGATCTTCTATTGTTCCATTTCCATTAAACTATAACACATAAAAGGCATAGTCAAATCTGGCATTTTTAAGTTGCCTTAGATCTTGTTTGAATGAATACTTAAGATAAGGATAATGCTGGCTACTGAAGCTATTTATTCAACCTCAGCAACTCACAGCTAAGTAGCTACTTTATTCATGATGTTGTCTTACGAAATACATGTTTTCATACCTTCTCTGGACATTTTCAGAAGATATTTCTTCTGAGGGGCGTCCCCAGGGACAATCATAGCTGCCTCCAGGAAGCCGTTTAAAGTCAAACTGGCAGCATATTTTAGGATCAGGTCCACAAGTGTGAGGGATGTCATAGCTGTAGAAAGGCATCATGTGGCAAAAAATATCTGTGGCAGATCCCAGATCTAAAATAAAAAGCCAACAAACAAACTTGCATTTACAAAATATGTTTTCCCCTAAACTGCTCAATGATGCCATTACTTCATACGTATACAATGCAAGCTCTATCTTAAATCAACAGCCCTTTAACTACCACTATATATATCCCAGAAGCGTTTAATAGCTTTAATCTGAAGGAAAATATATATCTCAGCCTCTCTTTACCTTTTCTATGTAAATATAGTATGGGCAAAAAGCCCCATAAAGAACCAGCATCTGCTGACCTGGAAGGATACCAACTGACTTGAAGTTAAAATTACAACTGGTTCATACAAATTCATGAGGCTGTCTACCCCTGTCTCATAATACCTGCCATATCTGTCCCTTGCCAGGCAATAGTACATACTGGGGGACCAAGATATTTAGCTAGAGGGCCTGAGTGAAAGAGAAAACAAAGGAACTGAAAGAACAAAAGAAGGGTGGGGCAGGGGATCATGAAAACACTAGTCAAATGCCTATTCACCTCTTGCACTGAGGAGAGAAAGCACAACACAGGAAAGTTCCCAGAGTCTATCCTGATGTTCACCAAAAGTTAGCCAAGGGGACTTTTTTTTTTTTTTCGGGGGGGGGGGTAAATTTCAAAAACAAAAACAAAGAAAACAAAAAAAATGTAGAAAAAGAGCACTGATTACTGATGGAGGATAATTTTTAATTAAAACCTCAAGAGCAGCATGTGTTAAGATCTTGCCCTAGAAAGAGCTGATGCCCACCACCAAGTAAGACTTGACCACTTAAAACAGAGGTTAAAAGTGGTTATCCTCAGAAGTGTGATCCTGAGCTTTAAACAACTTCTCCTACCTTTATTTATGTATGGATTTCCAATTTCCAGAAATGGGTATTTACTACTTTATAATAAAAACAAAAGAAAAACAAAAAAAAACAACATTTACATTTCTAAAAAATAAAAATAACCACTTCATGAGAACCATAGCCAGTAATTCCAGGTGTAATGCAAGTTTCTCAGGAGGCTGAGGTAGAAGGAAAACTAAGGCCAGCCTCAACAATTTAGAGAGAACTTGTCTCAAAAAATAAAAAGGGATGGGGATGTAGTCCAGTGGCAGAGCTCTTGCCTAGCATACCCTTTAAGGATTGGCCCTGAGTCTGATCCCCAGTGCTACAAAAGAAAGGGGGGGGGGAAACAATACAAGCTCAATTTATTGATATCTTTCAAAAAGCAACATGTTCAAATGTATCTTATGTTCTAAAATATTCCAATTTTAGCTATTTAGTTAAGATAATTATCACTTTTGTAAATTTGTAAAACCATTAAAACTTTTATGTTTCTGTGTTATCAGTGGTTTCAATGAAGCCCATTCAAAGGTGTGGCACCAGGGATATTGTTCACCAATACTTGCTATGTGTACACAGGTTACTACAAGTCCCAGAACTGACAGAAACTTCCTCTTCCTTTCTCCTACAGATGAAAACATACTCATCATCCACCCACCTTACCTTATACCTCACTACTTAGCAGTTCATATATACATTTAATTTTATCCACTGCCTTTAATTGGGCCTGCATTTTATCAAATTAGACAATAACTTCCTTACAGGAAAGGATGTTTTCTGTATTTCTTCCTTGCACAGTATTAAATACATCAAAGTATTCAATAATTTCTTACTGATATTTATGGGTAAATTAACAATCCTTTGTTTTTCAAATGCTCCTTTGCATTCAATGAAACTACACAGGATATAACCCCTTACAAATTCTTGTCCTCCTTACAGGTTTAATTTTCCAGAATAAAAAATTACATAGCTAGTTGCTTTCCTTATTGGAAAAAAAACAGCAGTTATGTGTAATAAAGTTATTGTCTAGATATACAAATGATTTTTCTGAAACACCTAAGGAATATAGATTATATAGGAAAGAAAGTATGATGTAATGTAGAAATTTCCTAACATCATTTTAGCAACAAAATCTTGTTTTCAAGATGAAATCTTACTGAGAAGTTAATGCCAGGGAGTTAGGAGCTTGGGCTTCAGGATTGCACGTAACTAGATCTAAACCTCTGTTGCCCATAACCTGTCTGACGTTAGCAAATGGTTCCACATAGTTAAACCTCCATTTCTTCACCATCAAAAAAGGATAGTAATAAATGTAACTTAAAGGATGGTAATAAAGGCTAAATAGGAGAGCAGATATAAAAAGCATAGAATAAAGTATGGTCTACAGTAATAAAAAACAATAAATAAAAATAAATGAATAAATGATAATTGGGGATTGGGAGAGGGAAAGCCTCCCACTAGGCCATGGTTCTGTCTCCTCTGCCTCAACAAAGGCCAGCAGAAGCATGTCCTTGAAACATCTGCATGCCTATAGAACAGAATGAAAACAGAAACTACAGACAACATGAAGGGTCTTCCAGGAGGACAGGATTAAGGTTTTCAAGGGCAATTCCTACAAGGTAAAGAGACAAGAAAGGCAAAAGGAAGGACACAGGCTGAATATGAGACAAAAGACTAAATAGCAGTTCTCATGCATGTTCAATTTTGTGATAAAGCTGTGCTCTTTAAACCAGAAGCAAATGATAGCATTATTGGCACAATACTACTCTTGGTATTCCATACTTCCTTTAGACATAATAAAGATTCAATTATCTATGAATAAACATAAACATCACTGCTTAAAAGAATCTTGACACAAACATCCTGGAAAGTAACTGTAGTAAGAGAATGACCATCTTTAGTCCATATGAATTTTAATAATGACACTGAATAAAACCAACAATGTCATGAGTTTATAACCCTTGTGAAACAACATCTAGGTCAAGTGTGATCTTCTGCTTTCATCAAATCCTACATACCCCAATTCTGTCTCCAAAAAAACTCCAGTGTTTTATGCTGTGCAAAATGTTTTTTAACTGCATAATGAACTCTCTGGATAAGCATATGTGAAAATCCAGCACGTTTTAGAAGATAAGCCATTGTTGGTGAATGTCCAAAAGGGTCAATGGCCCAACCAGAACGAGGTTTCACGCCTGTTAAATAAAGAAAATAAGTGTTATATTTTGAAATTGATAAGTGAAATGAAATAAAAACAAGTCACAACACATTCAGACACATCAGAATTCTATGGACTCCTGGGTTATGAGTTAGAGGATCTACTTGACATCACCCTTTGCAAAGTACTCCCAGTAAGACTCCCCACAGGGAGGAAGCTGCCACTCATGTCCACCAAGGCAGGGAGATGGTCACTGAAATTCATTAGATGGAATTGAAATAAGCCCTCCGCCATCTCATAGCTATTATAAAGCCACTGCCATTCATCTGAGTTGGACAGACAAAAAGGACCAAAGCTCTACCCTCAAGGATCTCAGAGTGCTGTTATCTATGGAGGGGGACAGCCCAAAAGCACACTGATCTGTCATTTCAATTTATACTTCCCAATCTCCACATTTAGAACTTTTCAGTCTGTCATTTATACTTTACACAGCTAAAAATTATCTTAGTATATAGTGGTAGAACTGATCAGAATAATTATTTATCATATTTCACATTTTGAAGCTGTTGCTTTTTCTCTAACTTAAGAGGGGGATCAATAGAAATTTTTACACCTGGATCATATTATAAGAACCTTCAAATAAAGCTATATAGTTCACAGATAAAAAGTAAAATAAATAAATAAACAGGTTATAGTTGAGATATTTATTCATTGACCATTATACAAATCTGATCTTTCACTTACGTAGGATTCTCAAATGAGACTTCTACTCATATAAATTAGATGCAAATTAGATAGTACAAATAACTGTAGAGAAATTTTTAGCATTATCAAAAAATTACCTAAAACAAAAGGCCCTGTAGGCATGGAATTTTACTGGTAAATCCTTTCAAATGTCCATAAATTTCATGGAATATAAAGAAAAATGCAATACTACCTAATTATTATATTAAGTATCATTAAACCAATAAATAATTCATATAAATGTAGCACATTAAGAAAGAAAACTAATCTCACTTATGAAAACAGATATAAAAATCATAAACAAAAAACACTAAACAGATTGAACTCAATAGCACCAAGACAAAAAGGGATTTATCCCAGGAAGTCAATGACTTTTTAATTGAGCAAACAGCTATCATATTCATAGAACAAATTAGACAAACCATATAATGTTAATAGATGTCTGAAAGAAATCCAGTAACATTCAATATGCACTGCTACTTGAAAAATACTAAAAAGAGAAGAAATTTCTCAATGCTATAAAAAATACCCACCATAAAATAATAGATAATATACTTAGTAAAGCTAAGCAATTTCCTTTAAAAATCTGAAACAAAAAAAGGCAAATAGCACCATTGTCATATGTCACTATCACACCTGATTTGAACAATGTAAAGAGATATATGGTCTAATCCTAGCAATATTAATAGGGGACAGATTTTTCATTTTTTAAGATATACTTATAACAATCAATAATAAATTAGCAACAATAAAATATTAGTAATGATAAAAAGTAAACTTTCTAGGAGATTTACACACATAAATACAAATCCAAACTTTCCTATAATGGTATTAAATGGTTTAAAAAAAATGAGAAACTAAAAACTAAGAACTCATATTTAGAACATACAAAGAACATCTACAACACACAAAAAACAACTCACTTGAAAAGAAAAATGGTAGAAGACTTAGAAACTTCTAAATAAGACAAACCACTGGTCAATAAGCATAAGAAACAGTACCTGACATAATTATTCACCAAAGAAATGCAAATTAAAGCATTAAAATATCACTGTATTTCCATTAGAATGGTTAAAACAAAAAAAAGTCTTAATGTCAGTAAGAAAATAAAATGGCTGAAATTCTAATTCATTGATGGTAGAATATAAAATAGTAAAACCACTTTGAAAAACTCTTCCATAGTTACCAATAAGTTAACACATATCTACCCTAGAACTCAGAAATTCTATACCTAGTATTTATCCATGACAATGAAACATATACCCACAAAAAGATGTGTACGCAAAATGTTTACTGCATCATAGGTCATAATAACTAAAACCTAGAAGGACCCCAAATGTTTGACAGGAAACTGAATAAACAATACTACTACTAGTCATCAAAAAGAATGAATTACTACCCAGTCATCAAAAAGAATGAATTACTGAGATAGACAACAAAACAACTATTATGGCTTAGATATGAGGTTTTCCCCCAAAGCCATGTGTGAAGCAACACAAGAGGGTTTAAAGGCTAAATGACTGGTGAAATGATTGAGAGCCTTAACTCAGTGAATTAATCCCCAGGTAGGCTGGTAGGGTGTAGCTGAAGAAGGTAGGCCATTAGGGGCATGCCTTTGGGGAATATATTTGTTGAGCTGAGCATAGTTTCTTTCTGTTTTCTGATCATCATGTGAGCAATCTTCCACCATGATCTTCTGCCTCACCTCAGGCCCTGAAGAATGGAGCCATCTCTATAAACCGAGACCTCTGAAACCATGAGCCCCCAAACAAACTTTTTTTTCCTCTAAAATTATTCTTGTGAGGTCTTTTAGTCATAGCAGCAAAAAAGCTAACTAAAACAAAGATGAATCTCAAAAACCAATGCTGGTAGCAGTATATACGATCATATATGCACCAGGCATGATGGCACACACCTGTAATATAGCCATTTGGGAGGCTAAGGAAAAAAGATAGCAAGTTTAAGGTCAACCTCAGCAACATAGTGATACTATCTCAAACATTTTTTTTTTAAGGGCTGGGATGTAGTTCTGTGGTAGAGGACCCTGGGCTCAATCCCTACTATGACAAAAATAAAAGATCACTATATATAAATCAACTGTGTCTCTATATTCTAGCAATGAATATTTCTAAATAAAAAAATTTAAAAGCATCCCATTCATAATGGGAGCAAAAGGAATAAAATACTCAGGAACAAACTTCACAAAAGGTTCAAGACTTTTATACTAAAAGCTATTTTAAAAAACACTGAGAGAAATTAAAGATCTACATAAATGGAAAGACATTCCATCTTTATGTATCCTCAGATTAAACTGACAAATTCAACACAACAACTACCAAAATCTCGAGATGGCATTATGCAGAAATTAATAAACTTAAATCCAAAATGGAAAAAAATATCAAAAGACCCTTAATAGACAAAATTTAAGCTTAAAAATAGAACGAAGTTGGAGGACTCATGCTTCCCAATCTCAAAACTCACATACACAAAGCTACAAAAATCAAGACAGCGTGGTATTGGAATAAAAACAGACATAAAATCAAAGGACAGCTTTATAAGCCCAAAATAAGCCTTTACATTATGGTAAACTGATTGTCAACAAGAGTGCCAGGACAATTCAATGAAGACCAAGCAACAGGAATGTTGGGACAATGGTAACCAACATGCAAAGGAATGAATGTGCAATCCTACTGGCTACAATACACAAAAATTAACTCAGAATAGATCACAGACCTGATAACTAAAACCATAAAGTTATTTAAAAATGATTTCTAACTATGACAACAAAAGCACAGGTGACAAAGGAAAAAATAGGTAAACGGAACTCCAGAATTAAAAATTTTGCCAGGTGTGGTGGTGCACACCTGTAATCCCAATGTCTTAGGGGGTTGAGGCAAGAGGATTGCAAGTTCAAGGACAGCATCAGCAATTTAGCAAGGCTAAGGCTTTAAGCAACTTAGTAAGACCCTGACCCAAAATTTAAAATAAAGAAAGGGCTGGGGATGAGGCTCAGTGGTAAAGCTCCTCTGGATTTAACCCTAATATCCCCCACCAATTTTCCCCCCCTAGGCATAGTAGTGCCTGCCTACAATTCCAACTACTCAGAAAGCTAAGGCAGGAGGATCATTTGTGCAAAGGGGTTTGAGATTAGCCTGAGCAACATAGAAAGACCCCATCTCAAAACAAAACAAAACAAAACACACCAGGATGACTGCAATTTTTAAAAAGGCAGTAACTGATGCGTTTGAAGATAATGGAGAAAGGAGAACCTTCTATTATTGGTGGAAAAGTAAAATGATGCAGCCATTTTTGAAAGAGTGTCACTACCTTAAAATGCTAAACATAGAGTTCCCATATGTCTACTTCCATTTATATATCCAAGAGATATGAAAACACATGTATACTTTTACACAAATGTGTATCGCAGTATTAATCATAGTGATCAATAAGGAGAAGCAGACCAAGTATCCATCAACTGAAGAATGGATAAACTAAAGTGGTAACACAACAAAGTATTATAGAACCATATAAAAGAAATAAGCACTGATACAGGCTACAACATGAGGGAGCTTTCAAAACATGCCAAGAAGCCAGACACAAAAAGTCACGTATTGTATGCTTCTATTTATGTGAAATGTCCAGAACAGTCAAATTCACAGTCAGCCCTCTGTATCCATGGGTAACACATCTGTGGATTCTACCCATCATGGATCAAAAATATTTTAGAAAAAAAATTATATCTATACTGAACATGTATAAACTTTTTTTCTAGTCATTATTCCTATAAAAATTATTGACATAGCATTTACATTGTATTGAGAATTAGAAGTTAATTCAGAGATAGTTTAAAGTATAGGGGAAGAAACTCATGCAAAGGTTATATGCCATTTTATTTAAGAGACTTGTGTTTTTGTATCTGTGAGGAGTTCTAGAACCAATCTCCCACAGACATTAAAGGGGGACTATCTTCAAAAGAGTGGATTAGTGGTAACTTGGACAGGAAAAAAAAGAAACTAGAAAGATGATGGGTATAATGTTTCTTCCGGGGATACTGAAAAGTTCTAAAAATAAGGATCAGGGTCATGGTTACATAACTCTGAACATACCAAAAATCACTGAACTGTGTACTTTAAATAGGTGAGTTTTATGGCCTATAAAACATATCTCAATAAAGTTGTAGGGAAAGAACTGAACTCAACAAAAGAAACTAGATCCAAAAGAGTATACACTATTTGAGTTCATACATGAGTTATTTAACAAGCAAAACTCTGCAGTGATAGAAATCAAAGAGCAGGTAAATGCAGGGGAAAGATGAAGACATGAGAGAACATTGCTGGGATAATTTTTGAAAAGTGTATCAAATGGGTATATACACTTGTCAAAATTCACTGAAGGTCATATTTAAGATTTATATATTATACTTCATACAAATTATACTTCAATAAACGCTAAATATAAAGAAAAAAATCTGCAACTGAGGTTTATAAAGTGAATATTCTTGGCTTATGACATAGTTCAGTATTTAAGTAAAGAGACCATTGGGTATAGAGGATCTCTAAGACCACCCCTAGGGTTTAGAGATTTGTTAAGAAAACTTACAGGTCTCAGCATACTGTCCTACTCAGAACTATGATTTACTACAGAGAAAGAATAAAGAATAAAACCAACAGAAGGAAAAGGCACATGGAGCAGAATCCAGAGGAAACCTGACACGGCTTCTAACAGTCCTCTCCCACGTTGATGCACATAGAATGTGTTTAAATCTTCCAGCACCAAATTGTGACAAAAATGTTATCAACCAAGAAAACTCATTAGACACTCAGTATCCATTTCCACCAGGAGATGGTCACTTAAGCACCCTCTGCCTAGGACAGTAAGATTCCAGACACCCAGAAGGAAATAATGTTTAGCATACAGTGCATAGTTTGCGTTTGAAACCAGTGAGCCACTCTTACTGTTCAGGAAATCCATGTCCCCAGTGAACGCCAAGGACCAACCAGTCAAACAAGGTCTAAAATACTAGATATTAGTCTTAGAACTGCTATTTTAGCTGTTTTTTCATGGGTATACCATCTGCAATTTATTCTCAAAGGTTCTAATGATAATAACCACAATAATACTGAGAATAATCATATGAAGAAAAACAAAACAAAGGTGTCAAAATGATAATCTCTGAATCTGCATGAAGAAGCAGTTCTTTGCAACATTTTCACAACTTTTGTTTAAATGTGAAAATGTCAAGATACAAAGTAAAAAATAGTTACTAGGGCAAAGGATTTTATACATTGTAGGGGGAAAAATTTCTAAATAACAAAGTATCTAGAAATAATTTCAGTAAAAAACATCTACGCTTACTATAAATAAAACTAAAAAATTACACTGAGCAATAGAAATATTTGAAGAGTCACATATCATGTTATAAAATGGAAATATTAGATTTCAAAAAGATTTTAATTAATCCTAAATTTTTATGAGATATAGTGGACATCTGACATTATCAGTCCAGTATCCTCTGTATCATTTCTTGTAGTAGATTTTTTCCTAACTAGAACTATTCCATGAAGGACCTCTGCCCCCAGGTCCTCACCATAAAATGACTATGCCTCAGGGATTCTAGCTCCTATACCTCTAGACACAGTAACTGGTTCAGGAATAAGCCCCTGATCCAAGTTGGACCAATCAGATAAAAGTTGAAAAGAAAATTACTTTTCCTAGTTACTAGCTTGAAAAATGAGTCTCAGGTACCTAGGGTCATCTTACATAACCATGCAGTAAAAGTCAGGAGAAGACCAAAGCACAAACAGGCAGTCCCAAAGAGATGGTACACAAACAACATAATTCTTGAATTCCCAGATCCAGTCTTACCTGAAGCTACTATTTCTCAAATTCTGATTGACATTATTAATATCTTTATTGCTTTGGTGTAAGATAATAATAGGTTTTTGCCTCTTATGATCAAATCTTAATAAACAAAAAATCTAAAAATAACAAAATTAATACATAAAATAACATATATACAAAGTAGAGTACACTAAACAATTATATACTATGGTATAGGTATAGACCTGTATACAATATAACTACACCAAGAAATATTATAAATTAATGAAGGATAAATCATTCAACAATTATCATTACTATTAAAAAAATAAAATGAAGCTTCATCTCACAGTACCCCAATTTCATTGCTCCAAATAGCCCAAAAGAAAGCAGAAAACACTAACACATACCTAGATGTTTTTCCAGCCATTGATGTCCTTCAATTAGCTGGTCAATTAAGGCAAAATAATGTGAAGTAGCTTCATCAGGCATAACCCAGCCACCTGTTACAACTTCAAACTGACCTGTTTGCAGAAACCTAGGGAGATAATAAGACATTAACAAATATAAGTTCAAATAAAAAAATAAAAGTAGAATAAACATTGTAAAACAGGCTTCAAGTGTAGCCAGAATTTATTCTGTGAAAAAAAAAATTTACACCAATGAATGAATTCAACTTTAGGGTTCTAGTGATAAAGCTTCCCTAGTAAAATGTCTTAGCTAACCATCCCTTCCCTAGGCAAGGTCATGCAGATCACTTTGGAGGCTCCTTTCCCAAAGGGTATAATTTCCCACACAGCTGCAAAGACTCTTAATCTCAGGAGCCACATATAATTTATTTCTGAATCCTACAAAGCATCTAGCAAGGTGCTTTACTCAGAGTACATACTTGATGAGTATTAACTGTAGGGCTATTTTAAGGATAGAATTTATTTCCATATACCTATACCAAAAAAATAATATTTATCATAGTACTTATGACACTGAGAAGTTAATGAAGCAAACTTCTCAAAAATAAGAATTAGCCAGGTATGGTGGCACATGCCTGTAATCCCAGCAGACAGGGAGGCTGAGACAGGAGGATCAAAAATTCAAATCCAGCCGTAGCAATGGCAAGACACTTAAGCAATTCAGTGAGGCCCTGTCTCTAAATAAAATACAAAATGGAGCTGAGGATGTGGCTCAGTGGTTGAGTGCCTCTTGAGTTCAATCCCCAGTACCACCACCCCCCAAAAAATGAATTAAAGCACTTTGCTCTAGATTTAGTCTGAATGTAAATTATATCATTTATTTTTCCTTATTGAATATAAAGCTCAAACATTAACATTATTTGTCTACTGACCTTTGCCATAATACCATACAGGTTAAAGATCCCTAGCCTTTGTAAAATTGAATTGTTATAAGAAAATAAGTTTTTCTGAGAAGGAAAAAAACTATTAAAATTTTTTTGAAAAGTGCCAAAGCATAAAATTAATAATTTAAGCAAATATCTTAAGTGTCACACACAGTTTGCAATAAAGTGGTTTGGACAATGATAAAATTTCAGGATGAAGCAAGTATATATCTCCACTGGATGCACACACTGACAGTGAAATACCAAGCCAAATTTATTCAAAGCACACCAAAAGCACAAAAAATACGTATCAGAAGCCCAACATTAACACAACATTTGATTTCTAAACATATGCAGGATCACTTAACCAGTGACAGAGTGGATAATGGATACAGTTTCTAGAAGTATAAAAATAAGTTATATCTAAAAATTCCTTCCTTAAAATACAAATAAGTGAGTTAAATTTACATTGTCATGGGGATCATTAACTAATTATTTCACTTGAAGAATATAATGACTCATTATAGCATCTAAAGGAACCCAAATGTCTGACGACATTCAGAATCTGAGACAAACATCAAAAACTTAGAAAAAAAAAAGCTGGAAAATTCTATAAATTACATTTCTTTAAGAACACAACTAAATCCAAGACTACTGTGTCTCACCCACCCTTACTGCCTTTGCTCATAATTAGCTCTTTTATGTATCATAATGGTGATTGCCTGATTTAACCACACTCTAGAGGCCATGGACCTAACTAAACCTTTATACCTTATGAGAACACTGGTAACCTGAGATGTCAGGACAGTTTAGGATTTAATATGACCATGAAATGTGGAATCTCAACTTCATTATTTTATAAGTTTACCAAAAATAAATTCTTTGCTGATCTAGAAGAGAAAATAACTATAGATTAAGAAAAAAAATTTTAAAAATGGGAAAATAAATCACCCTAAAGATGGAATTTTTTTTTTTACCTATATCAACTTTGCTACCTAGCTCCTGTCCTATAGTCACAAATGGTTTCCTAAGAACAGTCAATTGAATACAGAATAAAATTATATTCTGCAACTAATTTTCCCAGCTTTGCTTGTGAACACTCCATCCCTTCTCCTTCCCCATGATGCCTGAGATGCTTTGATGGTATGTCATGTGGTTAAAGACAAAATATCTAAGATATTTTCCATTACTTTCTTCTCTATCCTTCCTCAGCTAGCTGGTTCCAACTGCCTTCATGTCTCAACTCAAATATATATACTCAGAGAAGTCTCTGTAAGCACCCAGGCTAAATCAATACTTCCACAGTATTCCCAAATGACTATCATTACATCAAGGCTTATATCACAAATCAAAGTTACCTGTTCATTTACATGCCTTCTCTCTTCTCTTCACTCATATTCTCCGTTAAAACCTAAGTCTAAAGAACAAGGACTACACATGCTGTTTGGTTCACATCTGCATGCCTCCTAAGCAATCAATGAATGAGACTCTCAGTTTAATATTGGTAGTTACATAATATTTATGTATGTATGTGTGTGTGTGTATATATATATATATATATATATATATATATATATGTATATGCCAAGCTCACAGATACATGAAACATAAATTAGAAAAGGAAGTGTCAGTTAGCATGAACTTTCAATAATCTAGGCATGAGGTGAGATGCTCTATAATTCGATAGTGGAAAGAAATATGGAAGAGAAAGAAGACAATGGAGTCATTTTATGAAAAAAATATCAAGAGAAATTAGGGAAGGATTGGAGCTAAAGAAAAGGAGGATTACAACAAATATGACTTGGGGTTCCAATGACAAGTGTCTAAGGGAGCAGTGGAATTAATAAACAAGACAGTGATGTAGAGTTGACAAGGGGACTCACTTTGGAATGATGAATATAAATTTGATCAAGATTACTGATAATAGGGGGACATCCAAAAGGAACTACTTCAATAGAAAACCAAGCTTATGGGAATAGGAAGCACAGTAAAACAAAGCAAACGTCACTTTCCTACATTCATATATGAATACACCACCCATGAAACAACACATCATGTACAACCACAAGAATGGGATCCTAATTAGAATAAGTTATATTCCATGCATATATAATATGTCAAAAAAAATTTAAAAAGAAAAAAAGAAAAGTAAGCTTAGGAAAAGGGGCCATATAAATTTAAGTTAGGGGGCTGGGGTTGTGGTTCAGTAGTAAGTAGAACACTTGCCTAGCAGGTGTGAGATACTGTCTTCSATTGAGAAAAATCTTCTCAATATAGCCATCAAATTTGTGGGGGAAAATGGATTATTATAGGTTCTCTGATGTTTTTTTTTCCAAATATGCTCATAAGAAAAAGTTAATATATTATGTCATGGAAGCCAAGGGACTTTCCTTTTAGAATAGCTTGCCACTACATGTTTTTAAGAAAAATTGCATGAGTAGGTCAAAATAGGTAGAAATAAGGTCACAATAACAGGCCAAAAGAGCATAGCTTTTAGTGTTTTCTCAGCACAGACTCTCCCTAATCAGAAAAAAAAAAAAAACAATGGGAAGCAAAACAACATTATTTTAAATATGAAGCAACAGCCTATGTAATGTGACACAGGAATAATAAGGTTATTGAGTAATACCTCTTTAACTGAACTGCCTATTTTTCCCAATGTATGACCCTCTAAACCATCGATAAGCATGGTTTAAAAAAGAAAAAAAGAAAGATTATAAACCAGAAGATTCTTACAGGCAGTGAAGTTTGGTTTGGTATAAAATATTTATTGTGTAAGACAAAAACACTTGCCATGTGATCATTCAATATCAAAGACAAAAGCAGAAATCTGTAAGCACACAAATTTGTCCTGTACTCCAGACCCTATGTGATAAGCACTTCAGCATCTGAAGGATAAAAGAACAACAAATAGTACCCGCCCCCCCMAAAAAAGGAAAGTTATTGACCTAATTATTGAGAAACATAGCAATGACCATCATCATTTAATAATAGCCACAAAAATTAGAACAGAATATCTTGTAGAAACAACATATAAGGAAATACTTCTAAAAATAAAAGCAATAACAGAAAAGTTATGTAAGCATATAAAAAATACCACTTAAAATCACTACTGTTAGTGATAAGACAAAAATTAAGACAGATTATAACTGCATTTTCAAGACTTTAATAATTTAAATAAAAGTAATAGGAAATAGCTATATCCAACAAAAAAAAAATGGCAGGGGCTGGGATTACTGGGGATTTAACCTAGGGACAATTTAACACTGAGCTACATTCCCAGCCCTATTTATTTTTTGTATGTTATGACAAGGTCTGAATAAGTTATTTAGGGCCTTGTTAAATTGCAGAGACTGGCCTCAAATTTGCCATTTTCTTGTCTTAGCCTCCTGGGCACAACACCATCCCCAGCCAGAAAATTTTACTTAGAACAAATACAGGCATTTCAAAATATTTTTATTCACTTGATGTTCAAAAATCAAATAAATGAACCAATTCTAAAAAAGGCAGAGGAAAATATATCCAAAACCTCATGCCCCTCCCATAAGGTCTATTGCTCTGTTTCTATCAACACACTAATTTCTGGCAAACAATTTTTACATATACACTTCAAGATATTTCCTAATAAATAGGAGATTCAGAGGCAAAGGTGGAAAAGGAAACAAAGGAAACACAGCCCATGGATGTAGCAAAATTCAGAAACTTAGGCATTCTGAAAGTTAACAACACTGGTGTTTCACTTTTTTAAGGTACTGACTTGATTTGTAACTAATTAATGTAATTCTGTGTTTCTATTTCAATGCTAGGGAATTTGATATAAAAAGCTTAAGGAAGGAAGTAACTGATCAAAATTAAGCTGAGCATTTCTGTCACTGCTCATTTTGCCTAGGATGCAGAATTTACACTTAAGAATACTGGAGAACACAAGAAGCAGTAAATCATTTTCTGAAAATGTCACTTCTCCCCCTATGTAGACTCATCAGCCATTTGGATTGTGGTGACACACAGGAGGACACACTCAAAGAGCCTTTCTCCCTAATGATGAAATAGTTACAGACAACTTAGTAGCAAACAATGCATCACCTAATAAGCTTCAAAGAAGCACAAATTAATTCCAAATGAGACAATGAGTTGAATCTGTAATCACACATTTGGGGAAATATGAAATAATACAAGATGACAAACAGAGTTTTATTCATAAATTT